GCTCAGAATGCAAAGAATTGCAGATGTCAGAGCCCTGCCCCCATCACAAGATTAGGAGCTGCCTGTTTCAACCCAGGGGACCTTTCTGTGGACATAGTGGCTGAAGTTAGCAGATCCTCCTTACTCCTTAGACTTAGGTAAGGTTAGCTTAATCTCAAGCCCATGTATCTATGGCAGCGTCTTAGACTACTTCACTTAGGTTTGGTTGGTAACCTCAGGTTGCCACTTGCATACACTGGCCACATACTTAGTACAGGCTTTTCCTCAGAGACGGGCGGACCTATCCAGGAACTTTGGGCATATTTTGAGGAAGGAGCCCCAACAGCCAAGACCCAAAGGCCACTTTGTGTGATAATACCCCAGTGTCCTCCCAGCAAGGAATAGAGGAGGAAGGGACAATCCGCCCAGCCGTGAAGAGCATATGTACACCTCTAAGGAAATTCTCCTTCATTAAGCCGCGTGCCCACGTCAGCCCCATTGCCTGGTGCCTGGGCCTGCTCTTGTCAGTTTCTGTGCTGAAAAAAGGACTTGATTCATTTGTAGACTTTGTTTCCCCTGTTTCTGCTTCTCCATTTCTTGTATTTTTTTCTTTTCCTCCTGTTGTTCCTTTCTCACTTTTTATGCTTTTTGTCCTTTGCTTGTTTTTTATTTCACCTTCTCCCTGTCCCTCTCCACTTCCAAATTCCTCCTCCTCTTTTTCTCTTCCTTTTTTGTCTTTCTCTGTTTCCTCCTCCTTCTCTTCTTTGTTTGGTCCTTTTTGAAGTTGAGCCCAGTGGCGGGACTCCACGGCGTAGACCTCTCTCCTTCTGCCCTTGCTGTGTCCAGGAAGGTAACGTAACCTCGCTCACCTCATCCCCACTGCCTCAGAGGGGGTCGTAGCCATAGTAGTCCAACAGGGAGCAAAAGCCCAACAATTGCTCTTTCCTCCTCTGATACTTGACCGCCTTAACTGAGAATGTCATAAATATGTGGCAGTTTCTTACAAGGCACAGTATCCCTTTGACTGTCTAAGGGAGGACCGGGTACAGAGGGAAGCCAGAGAGCCTCCAGGCCCGGCATCTGGAGGCTGCAGTACTCTTGCCTGCCCACATCAGCGCGTGGGGCCAGCACACACACCCCAACCCCCAGGGGAACCTGGATCATGGGGGAGTTGCTGCCCACTGTGGCAGCCATTTGTGTTGGTGGAGTCAAGGAATACTGTCCTTACAAAGACTGGTTTACACAGATGCTCCCGAGTTCTTTTCCAAAGCAACCACTAAAAGCAAACTTCTCTACCTTGTGTCTTGCTGAGTGTGTCTTGTTTTGTTTTTTAAGTTTGTCTGATTTGAAGTCTGTTGTGGTGATAAGATTGTCATTGAGAAGGCATGTGGGCAAGGGAAGGGGAGTGTGGCCATGACTAATCCCTGCTAACCTCTTACCTGCTCTCCATGGCTCTCACATGTGACCTTCACCCACCCCACCACATCCCCTTGCTCATCGGCTGTGATTGAGCTCCACCATGGCTCATGAGCAGTGTTCAGATGTCCCCCAGTGAAATTTTTTTTGTCCTTACATGCGGGGGAGTCTTGGCGGTGCACTCATGGCTTGCCAACTGGGCAGCTTGCATGCCTCAGGGCTCCATATCCATGGCCACGAGGGCACACTGTGCAGAGACGCTCCGGAAGGAATGCATGGAACTGGGCTGTAGGCTGCTTCAAAGCCAAAGACCCAAGTCTATTGGATTGGGTGAGGAGAGCATGGGCCCCTCAACAGGCCAGGGGGGCTTTTGTCTTTAGAGTAGGGCTCAGGGGCAGAATACCAGCTCAGGAGCAGGGCTGCATGTGCACTGGGCACAGAGCAAACACTAACCTTTGCTTGTTTGAATGCAAGTCACTTCTGCCTCCTGAGTGTGGTTGTTGGCTAAAGACACCTGACTTAGGCCTGATGTGCATCTAGTAAACACTGCAGAGCTTTGCCTTTGACTGGTGTGTGAGAAAGTCAAGGTCAGAATGCAGGCAAGAGTGAGAGAGGTGCCCACCATAGGATGTGCTCCATTTTCCTGTGCTAGGACACTTCACTGGGCTGGACCATCCAACCAGGTGACTCACAAAGTGGAGAGGACTTTAAGAGATTTCCCTGTCCAACACCTCTTAATTTGAGGCCTGTGGATGGACTTCAGGAAACCTGTGAACACCCTGAAGTTCTGTATTCAGTTGCTCAGTGTGAAAGTGCCTGCCTAACAAGTGTGAGTTCCTGGGTTCCATCCCCAGTGCTATTAAAAAAATTTATATATTTATATATATATGTGTGTATGTAAGCAGTTTTCTAGGAAGAGTCCTTAGCTTTCATGAGATTCTCAAAGCAGTTTGTGGGGGGCTGGAGGGTGGCTCAAGTGGTAGAATGCCTTGCCTGGCAAGCATGAAGCCCTGAGTTCAAATCCCAGTCCAAAAAAAACAGTTTGTAATCCAAAAATATTAAGGAGTCTCTGACAATCTCTGAGGCAAGTCCACACTTGCCATGAGCAGTTTTGTGTTCCAAGGAAGAGGAATTTGTTCCTTCCTTGGAAAGTTCTTCCTCCATCCTTCTACTACAGTTAAGCCCAGAGGGTCCAGCTGCTCTAATGGAGGCTTAGGCGCCAGTTGTGTGTTGTCTCATGGTAGCCCAAGTCAACAGGTGCCACCATTCCCAAAAACTGCTGCTGGGATTGGATTAGAGAAGGAAGAGGCCACCTTCCTCAGTCTCCAGGGTCTGCTGGTGAGAAAGCTAATAGCCACTGCAGTGCCATCCCTGCTACACAGGGTCACTGGAATGTTTGTTGGAAGCTTAGCAAGCTGCACACTAAGTAGTTGGTGGCTCACATCTGTAATCCTAGCCACTTGGGAGGCTGAGATCTGGAGGATCACCTGGGCAGGGTGCTTGGGAGATCCCAATTTCTCAGCTATTGGTTAATAGCTGGGTGCAACAGCATGCACCTGCCATCCCAAGCTATGAGAGAGGCTCAGATCAGGAAGATTATGGATCTAGGCCAGCCCGGGTAAAAAAAGTTTGCAAGATCTCATCTCAACAGAAAAAAATTGGGCATGGTGGCACACGCCTGTCATCCCAGTGACAGCAGAAAGCTTAATATAGTAAGATCTTGTCCAGTCTGGCCTGGGCAAAAAGACCCTATCTATAAAATAACCAGAGCAAAAAGGACTGGAGGCATGGCTCAAGCAGTACAGTGCCTGCCTCATAAGCTCAAAGCCCTGAGTTTAAACTCCTGTAACACCCCGCCCCGACCAAAAAAAAAAGAAGTGCTGTCTTCCTAGTCAGAATACAAAACAGGAATGAAGCGTCAGTGTTACTAAGAGGCAACAGCCCAAAAAAGATCTGGGTTAAATGAGACTGACTGCACATAGATTATAAGTTTCCTCTAAGGAGACCCAGCAAGTAACAAGTAGACATTAGAAGTAGACATTAGAAGAATGTCAGCATTAAAAGGGAAGGGCAAAGCAATTTAAGACAAACCAAAACAAAGCTACTGAGTCTATAAGGAGAGAACAGTCACCACTGGCCAGGGTTACTGGTAGAGGTGAGGGAAGAGCCTAGTAGAACAAATATAAAGTATAGGCTCTGTCAGATCCTGGGGTAGGCATGATGCAGGGGCCTGTTGTTTTCTGCCCCCCACCCAAAGCTGTAGGCAAACTTTGGACGTGGCTTGGGAGTGTTCCGGCAGCATCTTACTTAGCTCTCTTTGCACATTTGCCCCAGTGTGATGATCCCTCCGGCCGGGCAAACAGAAACCACCTCTGTGGCCTGATACTCACTCTCTCTCGCAGGCATGGGCAAGAAGGATGACCCCAAGCTGATGCAGGAGTGGTTCAAACTGGTACAGGAAAAAAATGCCATGGTGCGCTATGAATCAGAACTGATGATCTTGTGAGTAGCCTGAGGTTTGGGAACCCAACTACAGGGGATATCAGTGCCTGACATGTCACAGCAGGCACACACACCCATCCTAGCTTGGTGGGGTTAGAGGGCTGGTTCCCAAGTCACTGACCCTGTCTCCCTCTTCACCCCAGTGCCCGAGAGCTAGAACTGGAAGACCGGCAAAGCCGTCTGCAGCAGGAGCTACGGGAGCGCATGGCTGTGGAAGGTGAGCAGCCAGTGGGCTTGGGGAGGTGGTGTGGGTGACTGTGCCCACAGGCTGCATATCCAATATCTTTGGCCACTCCCCAGATCACCTGAAGACTGAGGAGGAGCTATTGGAGGAAAAGAAGATCCTGAATGAGATGCTAGAGGTGGTGGAGCAGAGAGACTCCCTAGTGGCCCTTCTGGAGGAACAGCGGCTCCGGGAGAGAGAGGAGGACAAGGATCTGGAGGCCGCCATGCTGTGCAAGGGCTTCAGCCTGGACTGGTCCTGAGCCTGGCCTGTCCTTGCCCTTGGTGGATTGGCATCCAGCTAACCTGGCTGCATTCTCCCAAACTACGTGGATCAAGATGCAGGAGCCTGGCATTCCCTGGGAGTTTGCACTCAGACACACACGTGCTGGTGTGCTATGGGAAGACCCTCCCAGGTGATGATGATTATCTGAGGTGACGCCACCTCCTGGGAGGAGGCCACTTGAACTTCCTGCTCTGGAGGGAGGAGCAGGGTGCATTTGATGTATGCTGCAGAGAGAACTCCAAATGGTCCCTGATGATGCACTGCCTGGTGCCTCTTCTTTCCGCTGGCACATTTGGTAAGAGAAGGAGACAGCTCCCTCTCTTCAAAGCCACCACCACCACAAAGAGCACCCACGGAGCAGGGCAGCCGTCTTCATGTTCCTTAAAGCACCACCAAAGAAAAAGACACTCCGCGAAAGCAAGATGTGGATGGAAACTAGGGAGGGGCAATGCCCCTCTGAATCATTATGCAAGTTAGGGTGCAGTAGGGGATCTGTCCCCAGCCCTACACCACATACTCCACCCCCAGTGGCCAAATGCCCCAGGCCTCTCACTAGCTGTGACCTGAGGCCCATGGATTGCTGCATTTTGCTTTAGTTCACAACCATTTTGACACTGGAAAGTACTGACTTTGGGGAGCCAGGGAGGCCCCACATGTCAAGTGCCCCGTTGACAGACAGGCATTGTCCCTGTCAGTACCCACGTTGGGCAGAAGACCTTTCTAGACATTTTCCTGTGTTTGCACATTGAAACAAAGCTGATGACCCTGCTAGACACTCAGCCACTTCGGACCTTTTTGTCAGTTAACTTATTTTTTAATACTTGAAGCAACTTCATTTTTTATATCTATACTAGAGACACTGATCACCTGGCACCTGCATATAGGAGTGACAGAGAAGTCTCTGCTACATCCCATGCAGTCTGATCCCAAACTGAACACTTGTTACACACCTCTATTTATTAGCTTTCTTCATGACCTGGTTGACATCAGGAAGCAGCTCAGGAACCTCCGGGTCCTTGCGCACAGCTTGTCTGGCCCCTCCTGTTGCTGTCTGGCCCCTTCCTTCACCCTGCACTCTGCTCTTCTGTGGCACTGGACTTCTGTATTAGAACACTCACTTGCCCAGGATGTATTTCAGCACCATGGGAGACCAGGCAAAGGTGCCACTCTGGTCTCTGCCTGTTCGGTTCTTGGCTCTGTAGAACCCGTTTTTTTCCCCTGTTTTGGTGCCAGGATTTTACTTCCCTGCACACATATGATGAAAAATGTTTGAGGATAAGCCATCTGATGGCTGTCTGAAATCGTGTGTGGCTGGACCTTGTCATTAGTCTGGCTGATGAGGATGCCCTTGCTTGAGCCACACAGGAATGTTTGTGCCACCTACCACAGGTCCTGGGATTTAGGCTGGTATCTCAGACAGACAGACTCTGACTCCAGACTCTGTTCCCTGCCCTATACTAGGACCTTCTTGGCTTGGCAAGGGCTAAATAAGCATGATGTAACCAGATCCATGAGCCAAAATATTCATTTCTGTTTGTAGCTCATCGAGCCACTGACTGATGAATTTGGAGGCCTAGGTGCTTGTCTATGAGAAGAATCAGTGTATGGTCAGTACAGGGATGAGTCCATCAGTACCAGACCAATCAGAAGGGGCACTTCAGCCACTCCCCGTGGGGAAGGGCCAGTGTAGAGAATAGGCCTTCTGTGGCAGCTCTTCAAAGCATCCCAAGGCAGAGCAGGCCAATGGCCCAGGCTGACCTTGGACCTTCCCACAGGAACCACATTGTGCCTCAACTTGAACATTCATTCTAACCACAAAGGAGCAAAGAACCTGTCTTCTTCGCTTTCTCTAAGAACTGCCATCTCTCCTGTGGAAATCCAGATGTGCTGCTAGCAACCATCACAGCTCCAGCATCTTTACTTCTTTTCTAACAAAACAGTGTCTCCATTTCTGTTCTCTCCAAAAGGAAGAGAAGAGGGTGTTCTGGATTCCATCTTCAACCCCAATCTGCCAATCAAACTGGACTTTGGACAGGACCTTCACTGCCTGTGTGGCCTTTTCCCTAACCCTGTCCTCTCAGATGCCATCTGCAAACCCGTAGCATTGCCTGCGTTCCTGTCACTCCTGCTAACCCAGAACAAGGAAGCCATTTCCAAAGTTACTGGTAAGGGATGGGGAAGTAGTGCTGTGCTTCAAGTGGCCTTGTGTAGCGGAAACACCAGTTGTTCTCTTCGCCTCTTGCCGCTGCCCAGTCCTGGTCGGCCATGACATCGCTGTGTCCTCCAAAGCACACACTGCTGCCTGGAGTCACTCAGAAGGGGACTGAAGACTGCAGAGAGACCCCAGAAGTCCACCAGCCTGCGAAACGTGCCCCAGCTCCACCCTGACAGTGCTAGGACTTCAGTTCTCCTAGAGCACTTTTTTAAAGCTCCCAGTTTGTAACCACTTGTTTGCAATACATTTTAGTAGTCTGGAGACTTGTTTTCCACCTCTGGAAATGCATGCAGCTCCAGGCAGATGTTCTTTCCGAGAAGTCTTCCCTTGAAGGCAGGGAAGCAGGGTATGTGTACACATACACACAGGTAAGATGCAGAGTTCATTCAAGCGAATTCAAATGCAGTGGAGACCCATACTCTGCATATCAAAGGGGGCAGGAGAAGGCAGCCCCTACTCCTGAGTTTGAGGCTAACTGGCAGCTCTGTGTGGGATTTTAATCCTGCTCAGTTGATGTCTTTGGGCTTTTGCCTCAGCAGCCATCCTCAAGCTGATTTTGACCAGCAGAGGTAGATCATTTCTTAACCCTTTCACAAGAGAAGACATTTTTCAGTGGGGCAGGAAGAAAAATGAATTAGGAAAAAAAATTAGGGGCTAAGGATCCTAGCTCAGTGGTAAGAGTGTATGCTTAGCATGCATGAAGCTCTAGGTTCAATCCCTAGCACCATACACACAAAAAAAATTAAAAGCTGGTAATATCAGACCCACAAAGGGGAATGGTCTGTTTTATGCGCAATAAAAGTTTTTAAAAGAAATAGTGTATTTTTTAAGTCATTTCACTATAATTGGCAGTGAGCCAGGACACCTTTCCAAGTAGGTGGTGTCCATGCAAATCAGAGTCTAGTGTATGTAGGTGTGTACAGAGTTGTTTAAAAAATGGAATCTTTTTAGTTTATGATATTTTTTGAATCCCCTCATATCCTGACTCAGCCATCAATAGCTGGCACTTGAGAAACTATATAAAGCAACCTCTTTTGGTAAGAAACTGACCTTTGGAACTGAGCCCCTCTAGCCTCTTACAAAGAAGCGTGTTTTGCTGGGCACTGTTGGCTCACACCTGTACTCCTAGCTATCCAGGAGGCAGAGATCAGAACGATCACAGTTCGAAGCCAGCCCAGGGAAATAGTTTGTGAGACTCTATCTCGAAAAAGACATCACAAACAAATAGGGCTGGGGGAGTGGCTCAAGGTGTAGGCCCCAAGTTCAAACCCCAGCACCACAAAAAAAAAAAAAAAAACATGTTTCTTGAAACATTCTCCAAGTTGGAGCAATCCTGGCTCCTGACAACCTCCTTCCAGCTTGGCCAGGATACTCAGTGCCTTGGGGTCTGCAGCCTCCAGGCCCAAACTGGTCAGGTCTATCAATGACCCCAAGTTCATTCAGTGCATAGGGTTCTGGAGGGTGCTAATGTCACACTGCTTTAGCCTGTAGTCATCCCTGTAGAGAACAGAAGAAGAGCTACTCCAAGACACTTCAAGGCACCTTCCAGCACTCCTTCCCCATCCCATGGGAACTGATCCATTATCCTGGACTTCTGTCCCTGCCTCTCTCTGAAAAGTGTTGAAGAAGCAGCAGCCAGGAGCTGAGCGTTGTGACCTGGAGTCACTTGCGGAGGAAGCTATAGCAAGACCTTCTGTGTTACCAGAAAGAATGCAGACATGACTAGGACCAGTGTGAGATGTTAGGTGGGAAAGATGAGGACATCATACAACCAGCTCAAGAGGGAACACTGCAGCCTTAGACTCCTGAAAGGAAAGATGGCTCATGTCCCTGTCCACTGAAAAAGAGAGTAGAGCTTGGCAGGCACATCGCCCAGCTACCTTCTCTTTCCACAGGGGGTTGTTTGATCAGAGCTCACATCAGGCAAGATGTGGCTGCAGTTCAAGCAACCCAAGGTGGCAGGAAATGATGGTGATGGTTTTAGCCAGGGAGCCAGAAAAGAATAGTGTGGAGCTGCCTCAGGAGCCCCCTTTTACCTCAGAGAAACCACCACAGCTGATGTCTACAAAATCCCTCCTGGACCCTGAATTCTCTCAGTCCCTTTTTAGGAGTCAGATTAAAAACTGGAGAGCAAGAATATTTCATCTTATTTCAGTTCATTAGTGTCCAGACTGGTCCACTTCACAAGACCCTCTTTTGTGTCACCTGCTCAGGTGGTCCTCCCGCAGAGATAAGGGCAGGTGGACTATGACCTGCCTGAAGGCCAGCCCAGCTCAGGGTGTCGCCAAAGCATACTGAGCGGGTGAGGCCAGACTCCAGGGTAATACTCCCAGCCAACTTGGTCCTCAGTTTACCAGTAACATTTTTGGCAGCTCTACTACTTATGTGCCCTGCCCTGGGGTTTTTTGGTAGCTGGGACTTAAACAAACAGGAAGTTGGAGTGCCAGTTTCTGTGGTCAACTGAGTTTGCCTCTTCCTCCACCTGAGATGCTACTATTAGCGAACAGTGCGGGGCAAATATTATCCCTACATACTGTTCCTCCTTCTCATGCCCCCCATGGTCTTTCTGATCTGAGTTGACTAACGTATGGATTGCAGCCTGTGGGTCAGCTGTGGAGGTGGCAGGGTCCCAGGACTAGACAGGATCCAAGTTGAACCCTAGCAAGCCTGAACCCTAGCAAGACTGCATATTGCATTGAATGGTCTCCAAAGTAGGTAGCTATGGCAACCTCCAGACCCAGGGAAAGGCCCTTTGTAACTGCTCAGTATTGTGGAGCTGCCCTCTGAAGCTGTGTGAAATGAGAGGTTGATGGCTGTACCCAAGGGGAGAGTGGGAGGGGTATGAGTGGGTGCAAGGTATGAGTGGGGTGGCAGAGTCTGACCCTCTTCCCCAACGCCAGCCTCACTTAATTAACTGGTCAGTGCCTCACTTTTCCTGTCCATGGTGGGGCTGTCACCAGTCTATAGGATGCGTAGATCTTTCCCAGTAGTGATTTGTTCACCTTGAAGAAGGGGTCATAAGCCCTAAGGAGAACCAAGAGGCAGATGCCCAAGGTTATTTCCTATCTATCTGCTGAGCCAACCATATTAGTTTATTTTTAATTATTTTAAGGACTGGTCCAAATCCTCTTTGGTACTCTCATGAACTGAGAGCTATAGGTCACTGGAGACAGACAGTGTAGACTATTCAGATTGGCCTCCCTGAAGTCTGCCATCAGACCTGCTGTCCCAGCAGCAGCTCCAGGTCCCCATCCTCCACAGAGCTGTTGTCCAGCATAAGTGTCATCCAGATGGAGGTGAGGGTGTGTTGGTATGAGAGTGCTGACCAAGGGTCAAAGAAGCCAGGGGCTCACATACAGGTGACTGGCCCAGGGAGCAGTGGGAATAACAAGCATTTCCCAGGAGAGAATCCTGCAGACAACCCATGGCTTGGCTTCCCAGTTTGCCTTAGGTCATCTCCCCCATGGTCTGAATGCCACATCTCTCTGCTTAGGAAAGAAGAAAGGGATGCTGGCAGCAGCAGCAGTCGCCATCAGCCAGCACCTCTCAGCTGCATTTCAACTAACTTTTTTTTTTTTTGGCCACACTGGGGTTTGAACTCAGGGCTTCCTGCTTTCTAGGTAGGCATTCTACCACTTGAGCCACATCCCCAGTCCTTTTTGCTTCACTTTATTTTTCAGGTAGAGTCCAATGTCTTTTGCTCTGGGCTAACCTCTGATCTTGATCCTCTACCTCCCATCTCCTAACTAGCTGGTATTATAGGCATGTGCTACCACACCCAACCCTCACTTAGCTTCAGGTTTTTCAAAAAATTAAATATCTTTCTAAAAATATCACTAGGGCCAGACTTGCTGCATGCTAGCTTCATGCTTCAACTGAGCATGCTTCTGACCCCAGTAATGAATGTTTTCAGCTTTCATCAAAGTTTTTAACTTGACCTGTGGAAATCAGGAGGGCAGATTGGTTGTAGGGCTCACACCTGAGACCCGCACTTCCTGGACTGCTCTGAACACAATGCTGACAGTTGTGGGACTGAGTCCTCTCTGGTTGTCTTATAGGGAGTAGCCAACTAAGGTGACTGCCCCATCTCCCTCAGTTCTGCAGCTCCAATCCTTGTCCTGTGGTAGCACTTGGTCACTCAGCCACCTTAACAAACAGTCAAGGGGTCAGGAGTTGGCAGAACCTCAGTTCCTGGGGTGCCAGCCATCCCAGAGGGCCTGGGTCCCTGTTCCTGGAAGATTCAGGAGGCAGCTCCAGCCCTGTGGAATTCTCCTATGGACAAATACTTTAAGAAGTATTGAGAAAAGGTAAGTTCTCTCACACCCCACACCTGAGAAGAGTGAGTAGAGGGAAAACATCGTGTTGTGATGAGCTCCTGCCTTTTCACCTCTGTGGTCAGGAAGTTTTGCTCCAGCGTAGCAAAGGATGGCAGTACTCATGTGGGGAGGGCCCTTCTGCTAGGTTAGGAGGGGTCTTTGGGGCAATAAAAAGATGTCTCATAGGTGCTGGAGTGAAGTTTAGTGATAGAGCTCTTGCCTAGTATGCTTGAGATCCAGAGTTCCATCCCCAACACCACAAGAAAAAAAAAAAAAAGAGCTCAAAACCCAGCTGTGTGACCAGGAATGAAACATGAGGATCCTATTTCCAGCCAGAATTGTGGTAAGGAGTGCACTGATGGACTGACCTGAGACAAAGTCTCAACAAGCAGAAGATATCAACCCTGAGTAGACTGGTCTGCCAAAGCCCATCAGGTGCTGAGAGGGGGAAGACAGCTTGTTGCCTGTCCCAAGACATCCTAGCTGCCCTGCACACCCTGCCCCAGGGAGGCTGTACCTTCCTACTCTCACCCAGTCAAGCCCAAGTGGAAGCCACGATGGTGTCCACCCCAGGGGCCTTCATCCAGCCCTGGTTCTTCCCTCCTCCCCAAAAAAGTGGTCTCCATGGACCCAGGGGAAACTGAGTGTGCCCCTGACTGTGGTACATGTGCTGCCCATTGATGATGGCACCAGGATTCTGAGCGGTCCTCCAGCTGTGGTGGGGGTTGTGCCTCTAGGTCCAGCAACTGAGGAGTGCTTAATCATAGACACATGGCTGGATCTTCAGGCACCAAAGAGCTCCACTAGTTTTGAGAGCTGAACCACAAGTTCAGCCAAGGAAGAGCCAGTGGCCAGCACAGTATTGCTGGTTTCACTACACTGGGAACTGGGCAGTCCTGGGGGTGTCCTTGGTTCTGACTGGGTTCATGGTTTAAAACTCTCTCATGTTCCTCTCCTCCCAGCAGATGGAGACTTTTCCCCAGCCCCTTTCCTTCCTTCTCACACTCTTCTAAAGATGACTACATGAGTCTGCTCGCCTCTCCAGGAAGAAAATTATTTGCTAGTCACTTGGCACTGAACCAGAAATCTGACTTGGGATCTGGCCCAGGTTGGCTATTACCTGGCTGATCTTGGACCTAGCTCTCCAAACCTGCTTTCTACCCTTGAAATGCGAAAACAAGGTTCATTTCTCTGCCCCATAAAATGGTAGTAGGACTGAAAAGAAATCATTGTTGCTGTGGACTCTGAGTTGTATTGTGTTCGTGGCCTGTCCCTCTGTTGAGTCACACAGTCACATGCCTGTGACTGTAGAGCCCCACCCACCTCAGGACATAGCAACAGCAACAACTGGAGCAACAGCTGCTCCAGCCCAGGTTCTGGAAAACCCCATAGAAGGAATGATGACAGAGGGGAGATGTGTGTCTGCTGGCCTCGGTGATTCATACCCAGATATTTCCAATTCAGCTGTCACAG